GTCAGAAATCCAGGAATGACTTATTAGGATGGTTCTGGCTTGGAATCTCTCATGAGACTGCAGTCAAGATGTCAACCAGGGCTGAAGGATCCACTTGTGAGTAGGTTCCCTCATGCGCCTGGTGAGTTAGTGCTGGCTGACAGAAGTTTTTCACCACCTGGACCTCTCCATAGGGTTCTTGAGTGTCGTTGCTCATGGCAGGTGTCTACCCCCAGCAACTGATTCAAGAGAGAGGTTGCTGTAACCTCTGAAGTCTCACACCATCATTTCCACAGTATGCTGCTGATTACACAGGCCAGCCCTGGTCAATGTGGAAGGCACTGCATAAGTGCATGGACACTAGGAGGCTGGGAATGGGGCAGGGGCGTCATTTTGAAGATTGGCTACCATACATAGAAATAAAAAATATTCCTCCATTCCTCACATGTCAAGTTCAAAATTGAAAAGTAGACAGAAATAATGCTAAAGAGTTTGGACCTGAGCTGTATCAGAGGGAACTTTGTTTGCTGATCAATATTGGTTTACTCTGGGAGGTCAGTGGGCCTCAGCCTTCAGTGTGCATCAGAATCACCTAGAGCTTGTTAAAACAGGATGTAGAAACCTCCTCCTCAGACTTTCTGATTCAGTAGGTCTGGGGCAAAAATCATTTGCATTTCTCACAGGTTCCCAGGCAACTCGTGAGTACCATGCTAATACTCCTGGTCCAGGGACCACGATTTGAGAACCACTATGGTGGGTGGGACAGATATTAAGCAAGACAGTGAGATGATCGTATTTCCATTTTATAAAACTCTTCCTGGCGATTGTGTGAAGAATAGATCTGTGTAGGGACCATTATGAGGCTATTATTGCAGTAGTATATATAAGATGTAATTGAAACTTGAAGGAGGACAAAGAAAGTGTGTCAGGCAGGAGAGGACAGGTAGGAGAAATATCATTAACATGCCAGGATTTGATGACTTGTTGAATTTAATGGGGGTAGAGGGGGAGAGTGAAGGGAGAGTAATGAGAGGAAGAAAGGCGTTAGTGCAATGCCCACGTTTCAGTATGGATAACTGGGTGGATGACATTAGCATCAGTTGGGAAAAACAGATTGCAGGAGGGGCAGCTGGTTGGTAGGCATGGGTCTGTTGAATTCGGTGTGAATATGATGGCCAGCAAGTAGTCTGCTATGTGAGACTGAAACCTGGAGGAGGTACTTTGGGTCGAGGTAGAGATTTGAGAAACCTTAACAAATAGGTAGTGACCTGGGAATTGATGAGTTCGCCCAGAAGAGAGAAGAACAGGGAGTGAGGACTGAGTGGTGCAGCTGCTTCCCACCCTTTGCTGTGCATGAACATTACCTGGGGATTCTGTTAAAATGCAGACACGGACTCAGCAGGTCTGGGATGGGCCTGAGATACCACATCCCTAACAAGCTCCTCGTGATGCCAGAGCCACTGGTCTGAGCAGCACTGTTGTGGTAACAAGGTGTAGAGAACCCCAGCACTAGGGGGCAGTGTGGTGCAGAGAAAAGGGAGAAGGCGCTAGAGGATGCAAATAAAGGACAACTATAAGGACAATTCGAAGAGTCTGTTATTACAGAAACCAAGAGAATAGATATTCTGGAAATTTATGGGCTGATTAGCATTATATGCTGGACACGTTAGTGGTGCAATTAGAACCCAGGTTATAGTAGGTTAAGGGCTAAATGGGAAGTGACTACTTCTAGTGAGCAGAGACTCCTGTTGTAAGAAGTTTGGATGAGGTGAAAATAAACTAGATGGAAATACAGGATGGATGTGGGGGTCAAGGGATGGCTTCATTTTTTTTATTTTTTTTATTTTTAAGACAGTCTTGCTCTGTTGCCCAGGCTGGAGTACAGTGGCACGATCTTAGATACCTGCAGTCTTTACCTCCTAGGTTCAAGTGATCCTCCTACCTCAGCCTCCCATGTATCTGGAATCACAGGTACGTGCCATCACACCCAGCTAATGTTTTTGTGTGTGTGTGTGTTTTTTTTTTTTTTAGAGATGGGGTTTTGCTATGTTGCCTAGGCTGGTCTTGAACTCCTGGGCTCAATGATCCACCAGTCTTGGCCTTCAAAAGTGCTGGGATTACAGACATGAGGCACCATGCCTGGCCAGTTTTTTTAATCATGAGAGAAACTTGAGTGTGGTCACAGGCTGAAGGGATATTGGCAGTAAAGAGGGAACCTGCACAAGGATGCCTAAGATTAAGCCCAGCTTCAGAGAAGAAAGAAGGAATTAAGATGGGTGAAGGGAATGGTTTTGATCAGGAGAAAGAGAGAAACTTTCTCTCTTAGCTGTGGGTACTAGCACAATAGAACTGGAAGACTGCAGTGACAGTGGTGTCCACAGGCACATCTCAATTTGTGTCTCCCAGTCCAAAATTCAGCCCTAGAGAGACAGGGACTTCCCTTTCAGTCAGTGTGCAAGGGCAATCAGGCCCTTGGAACTTGCTTAAATTAATTGTGTCCATTTAAAGTCTTAAGATCTATAAATTTGGAAAGGAAAACTTTATTTCTTATGATTGGTTGCAACCTCCAGGCCGGGAAGTGGAGCCTCTGGCTGAGATCAAAGCCTGCCCTTTAGGCTGGGTACGGTGGCTCATGCCTGTAGTCCTAGCACTTTGGGAGGCCAACGCACGTGGATTGCATGAGCCCATGAATTTGCTCAGTACGGGCAACATGGTGAGACCTTGTCTCTACCAAAAAAAACCCCACAAAAATTAGCTGGGCGTGATGGTGTGTGTCTGTAGTCCCAGCTACTCAGGAGAATCAGTTGAGCTCAGGAGGTTGAGGCTGCAGTGAACCATGATGGTGCCATTGCACTCCAGTCTGGGTGACACAGCGAGACCTCATCTCAAAAAAAAAAAAAAAAAGCTGGACCTTTGAGGGAGGAAGGGTAGACAGGAGTTTTATGCTAAATGGGTTGGCTGAACATACATATTTAACAGGTTATAGGAGTTAGGAATATTAATGAAAGGGGAGGTCACACATGAGTGTGATAAGCAAACATATATGTTACATACATCCCATGTTTGACTTCGCTGTGGAGATGTATCATTAAAATGCAGTAATATTACACTCCATATGTCAAAAGGAAATGTAGGACATGAAGTTGCTTTGTGCACAGTCTGTGTAAAGTGGCCAGAACCATTCCATGGTGGACAGTCATTCCTTCAGTGGAAGGGGTGCTTTGGTCAGCTGTCATGTCAAAATCTTGAAAAGGGACGGGGGTCTGGCTGAGACACCAAGCAACTGGTTGAAGTTGATGTCAGTGGAGAAGTTTTCTGTTCTTTGCTTTCTAGGGCTGGTTTCTGTTTAACTCTTAAGTCTAGTAGTGGTTAGTGAGGAAGGGGGTGTACTGAGGCATGACCAACCTCCTACCTTGTCTTGACCAGGAAACATTATTATTATTATTATTATTTTTGAGATAGAGTCTCACTCTGTCACCCAAGCTGGAGTGTAGTGTCGTGCTCTCAGCTCACTGCAACCTCCACCTCCTGGGTTCAAGCAATTCTCCCTGCCTCAGCCTCCCTAGTAGCTAGAATTACAGGCACCTGCCACCATGCCCAGCTAATTTTTGTATATTTAGTAGAGAAGGGGTTTCACCATGTTGGCCAGGCTGGTCTCAAACTCCTGACCTCAGGTGATCCACCTGCCTCGGCCTCCCAAAGTGCTGGGGTTATAGGCGTGAGCGACCATGCCTGGCCAGGAAAGTTTTTAAAGTTTTTCTGGGGTCTCCTTGGCCAAGGGAGATAGATTTGTTCAGTCCACTGGGGAAGTGGGGGCTTGGGAATTTATTTTTATTCCACGATTCTTATCTACAGTAAAGTTTGAGGAACACTAATTTAACTAATAAATCATAAATGTGCTGCTGAAAAGTTTCCTCCAAAAAAGTGATCTGGGCAAAGCACATTTGCTATATGTTCAAGCATGTTAATAGCGAGGCATAAACAATGGTACTAACGTCCAAAGGGAAACACATTTTTAGGAGGAGGATGACATGTTTTCAGTGCAGCTTCCCGGACTGCCCTTTGTGAGGGCTTTAAGGAGGCTGGGGCTGCTGCTGGGGGGATGTGGGGAGTACCCCGTGCTACCTCCTCCTCCAAGGCCTCTCCATCTGGCCTACCTCTCAGATACAGTGACCTGGCCTTCCTTCCTTCCTTCACAGCAGCTCAGGAATCCAAAATGGAGGAAACTGAAGCTGCCAGGCCTTCTTAAAGCCTGGGCTAAAAAGCAGAAGCTTTTGCTCACAGGCCCAGTTCGGATTCAAGGGGAGGAGACATAAGCTCCACGTGTTTATCCACCAAAAGTGACTATCTCCCTGTGGTGGTTGATACTGAGTGTCAACTTGATTGGATTGAAGGATGCAAAGTATTGGTCCTAGGTGTGTCTCTGAGGGTGTTGCCAAAGGAGATTAACATTTGAGTCAGTGGGCTGGGGAAGGCAGACCCACCCTTAATCTGGTGGGCACCATCTAACCCGCTGCCAGTGAATATAAAGCAGGCAGAAAAATGTGAAAAGAAGAGACTGGCCTAGCCTCCTAGCTTACATCTTTCTCCTGTGCTGGATGCTTCCTGTTCTCGAACATCGGACTCCAAGTTCCTTAGTTTTGAGACTCGGACTGGCTTCCTTGCTCCTCAAGCTTGCAGACAGCCTATTGTGGGACCTTGTGATCATGTGAGTTAATACTTAATAAACTCCTTTATCTCTCTATACTATTCTGTCCCTCTAGAGAACCCTGACTAATACATCCCCACCCCCATAGAAAGGTTGGAATACTTGTCCTCAGCCTAGACTCCCTTTCTTTTTACTGACTGCAAATTGATGAAATTCTATACCTGCTCCCTCCACACCCCACTCCACCCCCAATTTTTACATGTGACATCTGATATCAAACCAGGTTCATTTGGCTCATGGAAAGCAAACCAATCATTGTGACTGTGGGTTTTGCAAAAGAGAAAAGATTTTATTTTGTGAGATTGCTCACAAGGCTGCTGAGCAAGAAGAAGGAGAACAAATCGTAAATCCACCTCCCTGAAAAGAGGGCTTGGGGTAATTATGGGGATAGAAAGCAGGATGGTGTGAAGTATGGGTAAAGGTGATTGCCAGGTGGGAAAGGGAGGTAATCAAGGTTTCTGCGCAAGTGTAATTGAGCTACATGGCTCTTCATAGGATGCATGTTCAGAAAATGGCTGAATTAGCATGGAAGGAGGGTGCAGGTTTTGGGCCTTTGACATCAAAAGGTCACACTTTACGCACCCACGCAGGCTCAGTTGAAGGGTTGATGGTCTCAACTTGCTTGAATTCAACAAGAACTGCCTGCTAGCTGCAAAACAACATTAAGCACTCATTACTATGGTGACCCACTGTCAGAGCCATTATCTATAAGGAGGCTAGTGGAAGTTTAGTTTTGTATTGTTTGACTACTATGACTTGCTAGTGGGAATTTTAAGATTAACTAGATGTAAGCAATTAAAAGCAAGCAAGGCAGGTTAAATTAGGCAGGCTTAATCAGGTTAGCCCTCAGTTTCCCATCTTACTTAATACACGCTAAAGTAGACAGAATATGAGCTATGTCTTAACTCCTTGTTTGGAATGCATTTTCAGCAGCACATTTATATTTAATTGTTTATACCAGTGATTCTCAAATGCGAGAAGCTTAGAATTACTCCAGGGAGGCGGGGCATGGTGGTTCACACCAGGTGGATCACTTGAGGCCAGGAGTTTGCGACCAGCCTGGCCAACATGGCAAAACCCCATTTCTGCTAAAAAATATGAAACAAATTAGCCGGGTCTGGTGGTGTATGCCTGTAGTTCCAGCTACTCAGAAGGCTGAGGAGGGAGGACTGCTTTGACCTGGGAGGTGGAGGTTGCAGCAAGCCAAGATTGCGCCACTGCACCCCAGCCTGTGCAACAAGCGAGACTCTCTCTAAAAAAAAAATAAAATAAAATAAAAAAGAATTACTCCGGGAAGTTCTTTCCCCAGTGCATATTTCAAGGTTCTAGCACTCAGGAATTTTGGTCTCCCCAATGTGAGGTGGAGCCCAGGAGTGGGCATTTAAACAAATTCCCCAGGTGGGCGATTCTACTGCAGGTGGGTCTACTTGGATGATGCACATAGAAAGCTTATTTTAGAATATTATTGTTTTAAGGTTCACCAACATGATCATTTTGATTTCATGGTTTTATTCTCAGATGTCATTTTATTTCCTACTTCTTGAACTGTTAAAGAGATGAATGTTAAAGTGGTAAGGACAGATTTTCATCAGTAATATACTATTGCAATAGGGAAGAGTGTCCAGCATAAACTCAACTCAACTTGGGAGGTGGCTGGCAGCGGGGGCTGCTGGGGCTTGAGCAGAGTCAGAGAAGTGAAAAATTAGAAAGGTTGGTCAGTGTAAATGCCCATTAAGTCAACTGCATATGTTAGCTGGCAATTAATCAAAGTTAGGGTTATATTCTCCCAGAGACTAGAGACAGAGGTTCTGTCATTCCTAATGATTACATTTCAAAGGAATGGCTTTCACTCCTGAGTTGCTGGAGAAAGATGTACATCTCAAAGGGACAGAGGAAGGATTCACAATTGTAAATTGTGCATTGAGTAAAATTTAGAAAATGCTCTAAGAAAGGGTGGTCAGGGGCCTTTAGTCAGGTGTTGGCTTGAACAAACAGTAAATTCTTTTAGCAGCCTTGCACTTTCTCAGTCAGGCCCTTTAAGGATAGCTAGAGTCACTTGAGGTGGCTGTGGCTCTGAGCTGTTGGTAACTGTTAGTGTTTGCTTAAGTCTTTAAATGGGGAGGGGAAGAGAGTGGACGAAATTGTTTATACTGAGAGTTTGTGGTTTTCATAGGCCAAGGTTGAGGCCTGGCAGATAAGACGGCTCAGAGGAGCCTGGCTAGATTTTGGTTGAGAACCATGCTTTAGTTTATGCCCCCAAACCATTCCTAATGGTTTCCCATTGGGAAGCCAAGATATGAATAGATTAAATAACTCCTGCAAGGCTATAGAACCAGTCAGTAACAGAACTATTATTCAAAACAAGTTCTCTCTAACATTAGAGTCTATCCCAGAGGTAAGAGAAGGAGGTGGAAGGCTGTAGAAGTCAAGATCTGTGAGAAGTGGAAGAAATGACATTCTATTAATGTGCCCTGACTGCAAAACTTGTTTTATCTGTTAGGTTCAGTGTAAATTCTAGAGCAATTTTTAGCATAGGGATACATTTGACTTTAACGTGCTATTTTCTTACTTGGTGACTTCAGTTTGGTAAAGATTTTTGCCTACAATCTTTCTTTTAAATGCTTTCAATCTTTATTTTAGTTAATCCTTTCAGGACTTAATTAGGTTGCAAAGTTTCTTTTAAAAATCATTTATCTCATATCTGTATCAGACTATAACAATTTAAACTTAAAAACTTTAAAAGTTTAACATTAGGTATACATTTTTTATCTAAAGAGAAACCTAAAATGATAAGGACTTCAATAGGAAACAGTTTGCATGAAATTCCATGGAAGAGCTAAAGCCATTAACATTGAGAGACATTTAATAATTCTTCCTCAAATGGTTTTTAATCCTTGGTGTTTAATTTAGTTTTTCCACATAGCTGAAGGTGTCTGACCCTGATGCTTTAATAACTTCTACATTTTGAGTTGGTATTTTGCCCTATCAAAATACATATTAATTACTTGTTAGCTTCATTGAAGTTTTGCTCTTTTGGTTAATATTTCCATTGTAGTTTTTAATTAGAGGAAACTAAAAGATAAACTGAAGAACTTAACCAAAATCCACTACAATGGTAGAAAAAAAAATTATGGCTCATGAGTGGTCCGTTTATTGAGAGAAATATTTCCTGAGCCTATATTACTTTGCTGGAAAAAATACGTCATTTTTAAAAGTTACAATCTCCTTTTTAAGCAAAAAAAGGTTAATCTATAATAGCATCAACATAACCATGTATAATTCATGTAGTCAATAAATATTTTCTCAGGGCCTGCTTTCAGGCTGGGTTTACAGAGATTAAAAAGCCATTGGCCCTGTCCACAAAGAATTACAGTGTTTTGGTTTTGTAGTTGCCTTTTGAATTTTTGTATTATTGGTGTTATTTGAGACTCCCTAGCCTTGCCATCTGTGGTCATGAATGGTAATTATCGTAATAGCAAATTTCATAATTTCACTAGTCTTGCTCCTAGTTGATGACAGAAGACCCTCAGTCATTTGTAAAATCCTCTACCAAATATTTCTGGGGAGTCCCAGAGATATCTGGTACATGTTGGCAAAAAGGTCCATTACTCTGCCGATCATTTCCCTTGGGAGCCGTTGCTGATCTGCTGCCCGGGGTCTGTGCTGTCTGTGAGCTGCATGGCTGTTTGTATCAAAGCAGTGGGGAATGCCTTCCCCCTTTTTGTTTCCCTCTGCTAAGTTCAGAGGGTTTCATTTAGTCAGTTTGTCAGAGAAGACATCCTAAAAGACTCCCACAAACAAGAGTGCTAGCTAGTATAGAAATAAAAACACAATTTTTAAAATGAATGAATGAGTTTGTAAGAAAGTAAAAGATATCTGAGTCCTAGCAACAGGTGTGGGAATCCATGGAAGAAGAGAGAACTGACGCTTTAGGGATCTTTATGGATCTGGATGTCCAGAGCTTTGATCGCAGGGCAAAAATAGTGGAAGTGGGATGGGGAGGCTTGGGCTCGTGTAATGGGAGTAAGATCTCTGGTCACTCTAAATAAAGTTAGCACCCATGAAGAGCTACAGTTTTTTTCAATCCCATAAAAATGAGGCAGAGAACAAATAAATTTGTCTGTTCAGCCTGGAATCTGAGTGGATATAAAAGTCTCCTTTAAGAATTTGTTGCCACAGCCTGACACTCTTGTAAGTTTGAAGCCTGAATTTACACTATTTGTATCATGTGAAACAAACAAACTTTAATTTAAAGTGGACCCAAGTCTTCTGGGTGCTTTGCAGAAATGAAGGCAAGTCTTTTCAGGGTTGAGGCACTCTCCATCTGAGGCCTCAAAGAATCCTCAGAACTCAAATTCCAGAGCATCTGAGCAAACAATAAGACACACACACACACACACACACACACGCACATATACACACACCCCATAAAGAAAGAAGCCACCATGAGCAAGAGTCAGCAGAAAAAAAATAGATACTCGAAGGCTTCAGGTATTAGAAATATCAGGTAGAGAATATTAATTAAGTTTGATGTGTTCCTAAAAGTAGGACTTAATAGAGAGGAAAAGAAAGTAACAAAATGACCGGCAGCCTTGAGTTTTAGAGAATTACTTCTAGAAATAAAAAATATAATAATTGATGTTTAAAAACTTGATGGAAAGATTAAGCAGAGAAAGCTTAAAAGTGAGTGTGTGCATTGGAACTGAGATCAGAAGAAATTACACTGGATACAAAACAGAAAGACAATGAGGTATAAAGTGTGAGGGAGGCTGAGATGTACAGAGGATACAATGTCCCATTATCTGTCTAAAGTGAATGGTGTACAGGTGACATGTGAATAGGTAAAAACTGAGAATTTTCTCTTTTCTTTTCTTTTCTTTCTTTCCTTTTTTTTTTTTTAGAGCTGTGGTCTTTGTCAGCCAGGCTGGAGTGTAGTGACATGATCATAGCTCATAGCAGCCTCAACCTCCTGGGCTCAAGCGATCCTCTCATGTCAGCCTCCCAAGTAGCTGGGACTACAGGTGTGAGCCACCACGTCTGGCAAATTTCTGGCTAATTAAAACAATTTTTTAAGAGACAGAGTCTAGCTATGTTGCCCAGGTTAGGACAGAACTTTCCATAAGTGATTCAAACAAATGAAGGGAGTGGGGGAAAGTTATACTCTAAACTTCCGACATTACTCTTTATAAGAAAAGGGGAGGTTGGAAGAGAGAAGTGTGTGTATGGGAGGGGTACACATGGATGGATATGTGAGTGTTGTATTAGCTTAATGATTATTGCATCACCTTATTCCAATGGGAGAAATTTCTCTTTATCGTGGTTTATATTTGTTTGTTTATTCTGTCCTTCCCTGTCTCAAATTGACAGTTTTCTTAATGTCCTTTATTCTATTTTACGTTTTGGAAGATATATGTTGTAATTCTTTCTATCCCTTGTTTGTGCTTTTTAAAATTGTAAATTTACCTTTTCCCCCCAATATGTTATTATGAAAGTTTTCACATATAGCATAGTTGAAAGAATTTTACCATGAACACCCATGTATCCACCAATGAGACATCATTAGTATTTTACTATACTTGCTTTATCACAAATCTTTCCATTTGTTTATTTATCTTCCACCTATCCATTAATCCATCTTATTTTCTGATGCACTTCTGATGCACTTCAAAGTATATTACAGATAGTCTACCTTTGCTTTTAAACCAAATAAAACTAAAAAGCTATTTTTACTTTTAAGTCAATAATTGATCAATTTACCAATGTATTTTTTTCTTTTTATGAGATGGAGTTTCGCTCTTGTCACCAAGGCTGGAGTGCAGTGGTGCAATCTCGGCTCGCTGCAACCTCCGCCTCCTGGGTTCAAGCAATTCTCCTGTCTCAGCTTCCTGAGTAGCTGGGATTACATGCACCCACCAACACACCTAGCTAATTTTTGTATTTTTAGTAGGGATGGGGTTTCGCCATGTTGGGCAGGCTGGTCTCGAACTCCTGACTTCAGGTGATCTGCCTGCCTTGGCCTCCCAAAGTGCTGGGATTACAGCTGGGATTACATGAGCCACCATGCCCAGCCTACCAATGTATTTTTACCAATGTATTAGCCTACTTCTTGCACTTACTTGCTGCTGATTTTTGCATTTGTTACTGTATGTGCCTCTGGTAGGGCATATTTCCCAGTTTGATATTCTGTATAATTTGTGAGTGAGAAAAATGGGGGGAGAAAACGGTCTGTTTGAATTGCATTGCTAATGAGTGTAAATGAGATTTCAGTAAGGGGCTGGAGATTCTTTCTTTGCTAAAACCATGCATGAGCTTTATATCTATTTTGGCTGCCAAGATATATTATAAAAGTCTTAGAATATTTGTGGAAGGATTGATTGGGATTCTGCAGGCTTTCTAGAGGAAATAAAATTTCTTGAATTGCTCTTAGTGTTATTTTATATTATGATTAAAATTTATATTCTTCATAAAGAGCTAGTGCACCATCCAATCTAATACAAATGTATGACACCTATAATAGGTAGTGTTTAAATGCCCAAATTCAATTTTACTATGCAATTTCAGCTTTAAAATAGAAACAACTTCATATGATGATCTAATCTCTTTTGTCTCTAATATTGAAAAACATAAAAGGGTTAAATGCTGAATCATTAATGGCTTTTAGCTTAATGGACTTTTTAACTGATAGGAGCTAAAAGACTGAGCTCCTACTAAATGAATCTGTGAGCTAATGACAGCTATACATTGACAAGTTAAGAGAAGAGAAATGATTCCTTTTTTTTTTTTTTCTTCTTTGAGACAGAGTCTTGCTCTGTCAGCCAGGCTGGAGTGCAGTGGCATGATCTTGGCTCACTGCAACCTCTGTCTCCCAGGCTCAAGCAATTCTCCTGCCTCAGCCTCCCGAATAGCTGGAATTGCAGACATGTGCCACCACGTCTGGCTAATTTTGTATTTTTTTTTTAGTAGAGATGGGGTTTCACCATGTTGGCCAGGCTGGTCTCGAACTCCTGACCTCAGGTAATCTGCCTGCCTTGGTCTGCCAAAGTGCTGGGATTACAAGCGTGAGCCACCATGCCTGGCCAAAAAATGATTCCTTCATGTGAGATGATGTTAAGTAATTTTTGTCTAATTCTAAGATAGAATGTCTGTGGTCGTCAGCAAAGTGAATGGGGATTATATTCAGTTCAGTTGAAGCACAATTGATATGCTATGAGGCTAGGAAGAAATAGGAAAATTTTTCTAAATTTTTTTCCTTTTCATCAAAGGCTTATATCATCATCAGATCACTACTCTTTAAATCATAGTACCTTCTCTGTTAGACAAAAACTATTTCATTTGTGGCTTTACCATTACCAGCATGTGACCTTGGTTGGGTCACAATGATTTAGAGCCTCAGTTTACTAAAGTACATCTATATCTACTTGTAGATACAGATATTAACACTTTCCTTACAGCATTGTAGAGAAGAGTAGAGGTAAGGTACAATAAAGTACCCGGTACAGTGCTTGAAGCAGGGTAGGTACACAAAACATAGTGATGATGATAATGATGATGATGCGTATTTTGAAACTGTCTCAGATTTTATTGATCTTATTTCCTTAAGCAGTTTACAGTTACCATTTATGTTGGTTATTTGGAAAACATGATTTTTCTTTTCAGAAAGATTTATTCATAAAAAAGAAACTAAGAGAGAGAGAAAAGAGGCTGGGTGCAGTGGCTCACACCTGCAATATCAGCACTTTGGCAGGCTGAGAGGTGTGAGGCTCACTTGAGGCCAGGAGTTCAACACCAGTCTGGGCAACATAACAAGACTCTTTCTCTCCAAACATTTAAAAGAAAAAAAAAGACTTATTCATGATTTCAAATATTTTTGAACCAGAGATGGACTTTCTCAACTAAATTAAGGAGTTGATTAGATGATCATAATAGTATTTGTCAACCAAACTCTTACATATAATGTATTTAATTTTGACAGGTTGACAGGTTGATAATACCCCAGTTCCACATGTTAGTATTCCTGATCATCCATAACTGTTTATTTTCACTTTCAACCATCTAAGTGCTCCATCTGTGTTTTTTAATAATCCTTTTCCATGCAGTTATCGGTGACATGTGGTAGTTTAAAGAAAAAGCACAAGATCAAGACCTGAGGACCTTGTTTGGATTTTAGCTCTGTTATGATCTTGGATTTCTCTAAGCTTTAATATTCTTATTTGTGAAATAGAGATCGACTCTGTTTTCTGAGTCTATCAGTTTCAGCAGTGACTGTGAGGACGGAAGAGCTCAGTAAGCCATGAACACTATCAATTATTAACTAATAACACCGACCTGTCAATTCAGAAGCAACATTGCAGAGATCCATACATGACATACAGATTCTAAATTCGGTAAATCTTTAGCTGGGTGTGGTGACACATGCATGTAGTCCCAGCTATTTGGGAAGCTGAGGCAGGAGGATCACTTGCATCCAGGAAGTCAAGGCTACAGTGAGCTGTGTTTGCACCACTGCACTCCAGCCTGGGTGACAGAGCATGAGCCTGCCTTAAATAAATACATAAATAAATAAGGTAAATCTTCAAAATCCACTAGTAGAAATACCAAGAGAGGAGTGGTTTTGATGCCCAGAAACTCAAACTCGTTGAAGCATAAAAGAGAATGAATTAGATCACTTACTTGGGAAGATGGAATCATACAGGTATCTCTTGTTTCAGGCATGCTTGTATCAGATGAAGTCTCTACCTCTTTCTCTTCTCTGTTTTTTTCAATGTAATGGTTTCATTCTCTCACTGTGCAGACAGGCTTTCTCTCTGTAGTGAATAAGATGGATGCTAATAACCCCAATATTCTTTAAATCTGTGACCCAAAAAGGCAAGGAGCCTTTTCCTCCATTTCCATCTTTAAAAAAAAAAAAAAAAAATCCCAAAGTAACAAGAATGGAGTTCTTTGGGTCAACTGGGCAGAGTTTGGGGATTGGCGGTCCCACTAGGAATTATCTGACTTGAGTGAACAAAGAGCAGTTAGAACAGTCTCCAAAGGAAGCAAAGGGCCTGGGCAGACAAAAATGACCAGTGTCACTACAAGCATGAGGGAGGAAAGGAGAAGAGAATAATGACAAACAGAAGAGTCTTGCTATCCTTATGAAATGCTCACCACCTCTTCATTCAATTACCCACTCTCCTGTTTAGGATTGTGTGGCAATCTCTCAATTTGCTCACAACAGTCCTGTTTCATGCCTTGTCCTAGCATAACTATTAAAATCATGGCTTTTTATTTTCAAAAGTATCCCAGTTTGGACAATTTGCTATACAGTCACTGTAAATAAGACCAAGTAGCAATTTGTCTTCAGCCACTCAATTTGTTTTAAGTCATCCTATTCCTTTGATTCAGTTGAACTTGATCAGTTCTTTGCCTTTTCTTTTCCAACCTGTGTCTGATATTAAACATTTGGAGTTCTCGTGACATACACATTCTTGCCACCTTCTTCCCTTTTATTGGTCACCTCACATTTCTGCCCTTCCAGGAACTCTTCTGGATTTTAACTAGTGGTGCTGAAGGTTTAACAACCCACTCATCTGCTCAGAGCATCTCTGATAGTAGAATTTTTCTTTCAGGGATTGCTGCAAGTTAAATGTATACTCCCTCTCCCAATAGCATAGATTCATCCTGGGAAACTTCGGTTGTTGTTTCTTCAGAGTAGAAGCTCTCTACCAGGCATGACTTTATGTTTTCTGTCCTATTGCACATGCTATGGTAAGTGGGGTGTGGATGACGATGGATAAAACAATTAACATAGTGTGAGGCTGGGCATGGTGGTGTGTGCCTGTAATCCTTGCACTTTGGGAGGCCGAGGCAGATCACTTAAGCCCAGGAGTCTGAACCCCCCCATCTCTACAAAAAATAATAAAGTTAGCCCAGCATGGTGGCAAGCATCTGTGGTCCCAGCAACCCAGGAGGCTGAGGTGGGAGGATTGCTTGAGCCCAGGAAGTGGAGGTTTCAGTGAGCTCTCTTTGTGCCATTGCATTCCAGTCCCGGTGAAAGAGTGAGACCCTGTTTCAAAAACAAAACCAAACAAACAAAAATAGTGTGATGATGGTAAAAGACATAAATTCTTTATAGTGTATTTGCAGTGGTCCCCTTTGCACACCAGCTAAGAAGGAAGCATCCTTTGCCAGTTTGACCAGCTACCTCCTGGCCGTGATTGTACAGATTGAGTGAAAGTGGTGAAGAGAGTGATGAAACAGAAAGCAACCCCAATATATACCTGAGAAAGGATGAGACAGGGAAGAGGAGTAAAGAGCCAAGGAAACTTGGTGTGGAGAAATAGGTAAGGGTCGTACTGACGTACTGGAGGACTCCAGCAACTAGCCCTCACATCACGTGCATGGTGTTCCTACCTCTTCATGTTCTACCGCATGCAATGTGGGCAGGGCTCCCTGGAGGTGTATAATTTGTCAGCCTTGAGGGGTACGGAGAAGACATGTATGGTGTTCACAATGAGGGGTTTGATTGAAAGGCACAGCTGCTGTGCAGAGAAACACTATGGGGAGACAATGTGTAAAAGAGGTTTTCTGGGAAGTCTGTCATTTATTCAACAAATAATAATATTTTGTCCTCTGCACTACGCCAGGCACTGTTATAAATTCTGGGGATATAGCAGGGATGGACATAGCATTTGTATGTATATACATAGAGCACCTGGCATGGCTTACCTTTTAGTGAATGGAGACAGATAATAAGCAAATACATTGTATAGCAGTTTAAATGATGAGAAGTGTAATGGAATAAACAATAGAGCAGCTCTGGAAAGCTGGAGTTGGAGAAAGGTCATTGCAAAATTTAAAAATGAGCAGTCAAGGTAGGCTTCAGAGAGAAGATGACATTTTTGCAAAAACTTGAAGGAGATAAGGCAGGAACCGGGTAAACATCTGGTAGAAAGCCTTCCAAGTGGAGAGGACAGGCTTTGCAGAACTCCTAAAGTTGATATGTGTCTGGTGTATTCAGAAATAGAGCCAGTGTGGTTGAAGGTAGTAGGGGGAGCAGGAAATAAGGTGTGAGATTTAGGGGAGCAGGCAGATGATGTAGGGCTTTGAGGTCATTAAACTTTGAGAGAAATGGGAGCTGGTTAGAGGCTTCCCAACAGACGCTTTTAATTGCATCACGGCCTAATGCATCTTGATGGATATTATGAAATATAATTATCTCAAGGGATATTCAATATTTGTTTCTTTTGATGTGAAACACTGTAATACTTTGTACAGTATATATTCATTCATGTTATAATAGGCTCTGCTTATAACTGTCCACAAAGAGGTATTTGTGGAATGAATGAATGAATGAATGAATGAACGAACGAACAAATGGGGTTGACCTTTTCGCTCCCTCCATGCAGGTTCTCAACCTATTATTTAAACTTTATTGCCCCTACACCCTTTCTCAACTTGGGTTCTATTCACCTGTCTTGTTGAGTACTAATTAGGAAAAAAAAAAAAAAAAAAAGGCAGGCTAGTGGGAGCAGGAAAAAACAAAGAGATAAGGCAAGTAAGCATAAGCTATACATCTGCCTTTCTTCATGGTCCAAAACATATAAACAAAAGGAAGAAACAAATAAGCCATAGGTCTACTTTTCTTTATGGCCCAGGACATATGGCCCTTCTAACCAGATAACGTACTTAACTCTCAAACTTCCTGCTTACCTTCAAACGCCTCAATTTATCAAACACTTCGGTTGACAAAAAAAAAAAAAAAGAGAAAAAAAGAAAAAAAAGCAAGTTAACTCCGTGCTACCTTGGTGTTATCAATCACTCCAAGTTCCAGTCTATAAAATTCTCAACAAGCCTTTGTTTCCTAGCAATGAGCTCCTCCTCTGCTGATTCTGCCCGCTGTTCCCTGGTAACGAACTTTCATACTTTCTTTAATCTGTCTTTCTTTATCTACTACTGTCTTGGTAAATTCTTTTACTCCCACACCCAGAAAGTCGTCGCTCACTCGCGACACGTTGAAAGAGTTCTTTCAACTCTGTCCTTCTGCCTCTGTCTCTGCTCATCCCATTTACCCCTACTTGAAATGCTTCTCCAGCGGATTAAAATTCTGCCAGTTGTTAAAGACCTAGGGACAAGCTCCACGTCCTCCAGGAAATCCCTGCAGACTCTGGCCTTCGTTGCCTTTTCTGAGCGCCTGTAGCATCCTTCCTCTGCTACCTTTCATTGGCTTGATCCCCTGCATTGGATAACTTTGGTTGTTTATTTTAAAACCACTGTTTGAACTCTCTCTACGTGCTAGGCAAAGAATACACAAATGAACATTAGCATTTCAGTGGGGTACCTTTACCGTTTCTGTTTTATAGAAGCTGACTTGATAAGACGGGCTCAGTGACTTGGATGATCTCATGTAGATTAATTAACAAGGGACGCACCAGGACCGGGACACAAGTCGTTCCCAAGACAAGCAATAGTCCCTGTCCTTCCTACTCATAAAAGGGTTAACCTAGCATTTCCTTGCCGCGGTCAGGGTCAGTTCACTCCACTCCCTTCCCCGTGAATCAAAAGCGGCCGCGGCTAGGGAAGCTTGTCCTGTGAGGGATTCCGTAGAGGCACTCCTCCACTGCTTGAGTCCCGGGCGAACATGGCGGCCCCCGAGTCAGGGCCGGCTTTGAGTCCAGGCGCTGCAGAGGGTGAAGAGGAGACGATTCTCTATGACTTGTTGGTCAACACCGAGTGGCCACCGGAGACTGAAGTACAGGTGAACCAGGCCCGTCTACAGCAGCAGCCAACTTGGCGCGGGCGCTTCGTGGACAGAGCCACGTAGCAGGAGCCACGTAGGGGAGTGGAGCCGGGTGGGCGGGGGACTAGGGCCTGACGGCTTGTGTGGTCGCCCTGGCAACGGCAACTTGGGCTACCAGGGGTCTGGGGCTCCGCAGGCGGGGTGGGGTCGTGGTCCCTGAGATTCCTCCTGGGCTCAGAATTCGGTTGTTGGAGAATTCGGTTGTTGGGGGCTGGAACTTTGTGCTCTGCGGAGCGTAGGATCCCACTCTGGTTGTTAGTTTCTCTCTGTTTTCGGAGGGGTGGGGATTGTTAGTTTCACTCTCTGTATTCGGAGGGGATGTTTTCGGAGGGGTGGGGATTGTTTGTTTCACTCTCTGTATTCGGAGGGGAAGGCACAGCGCTGGACTAAAGGGTCCTTTCTCCTACCTGGACTCTCGGTGGTCCCTTCTCGCAGTCTGGCTAGGGCTAGTACGGGCGGACGCTTAACGGTGTGAGAATTTTCCAGGACCCTTACAGGCTTCAGCATCTGGCGGGCTGCTGCAGAGTGCGGAATCTGAGGCTTTACAGCTACCTGGGGCTGGATCGCGCCAGTTCTTGTGTGTATCAATAAAAGAGCATTTAATAAGGGTGTGCGTGTCCGTTCGTCCGTCTCGGTGTCCCAGATGCTGTGCTAGGTGCTGAGGATACAGAGATAAATATGCTTTCGTGGAGCTTCTCCTCTAGAGGGGAGACAATCCTGTAAACGTTATTCATGATCTAGCGTTTTATGCGCTATAGTTAGCGATGTGAGCAAAATGCCACGGAAGTGAAGGGTAAAGAACTGCTGACTGGGATTGGGATCTCCGCTAGAGAAGGGTTATAGAGGTTCATAATGTATAGACTGGATCTTGGGATTATCAGTTATTTGGTAGTGAGGGCCTCCCAGGTCTGTGGTGAAGAGTAGGAACCACGGATCCATGTTTATTTAATAGATATTGAGTGCTTAACACATGCCAGTTACTGTTTTGGACCCAGAGGAAGCAGCCAGATCGAAAAGAACCTTTATTAAAGATTATGTAGTCCAGCCCATATGAGTTATCTTACATTTTTTTATGAGTGTTTCTTTACTGGAGAAACGACTCATTTTTCAGCCTAAAGTTTGTATTTTTTTCCCCTGTAGCCTCCATCCCACTGCAGTTTGTGCTTATTTTGAATAATGTATTTTGTAGAACGGGTAGAGATCTGCATGTTTTGCTGTTTAATTTCAAGTGCTTAGTTTGTCTTAATGTGAATATTTTTGGGGTTATGCAGCTAGGAAGCTGTTGCTGCGGCAGCTGGTTAGATAAGTTTGCACTCCTTAACACTCATTGGTTAGTTGCAGTAATGTTTCAGAATGCTTAGCATAAATTGATTCCAAAAAAGTAACCACAGAATTAACTTACTTTGAAACCCTTAGCACTTTGTTTTGTGTTTGTGTGTTGGGGGTGGGGGAGTTCTATTGATTTCTACATTCTATCGATTTCTGCATTCTATCGATTTCTGCATTCTATTGATTTCAGCTGTTGAACTATAAGCTCTTGGAGGGCAGCTACATCTGATTCATCTTTATCTCTCTCCCCAGGGCCAAATTGTGTCTTGCATGAATCCCACCATCAATTCTTGTTTGTTGAGTGAAATAACTTTTCTGTGTTTTTTTAAAAACCTGTCTACACTTACTGTGTGTCCATTGTGCTTTTCTTGACAGCACTTTAGTGCACCTTATGCAGTGCCTAGTGTCATGAACCTACCCACAGTGTGTTCAGTTTATACTTATGGAATGGAATTATTTAGTATAGCAATTACGTATCGGTGTATGTTTTGTTAGTAGCATTGTCTGTATGGATATACAACAGATAGTCAATGAATTTGCCTTGGAGATATGACCACTTTTCCTGTGAGCAAAACTTACAGGTTCAATAGAGTGTGCTGAACTGGCAACCTTGGCCTTGACTTCTCTTGTCTTTGGATTGGTATTTGATTTGGAAACAGTTTCCAGCTTCAATCTTTGTTCTTACCTGCAAGGTTAGTCCTGACATGTGCCTGTAGCTCTGCTATGCTCCCTTTACTCCTATTGTCCCCCATCCTGAGTCTACCTTTTTCTTTTTTTTGAGACAGGGTCTCACTTTGTCACCCAGGCTGGAGTGCAGTGGCATGATCAGGGCTCACTGTAGCTTCAACCTCCCGGGTCACCTCAGCTTCCCAAGTAGCTGGGACTATAGGCACGCACCGCCATGCCTGGCTAATTTTTGTATTTTTTGTAGAGACAAGGTTTTGCCATGTTGCTCAGGCCGGTCTGGAGTTCCTGGGCTCAAGGAATTGGCCCACCTTGGCGTCCCAAAGTGCTGGGATTACAAGCGTGAGCCCCTGCACCTGCACATTCAGTCTTTAAGTAGTTTTAAGACACTGCTTCCCTGTGCCCAAAACTCGGAATATTAGTAAATAAAAATAAGTTTACATTGTATAAGTAATACTAGTCTAATACTAGAGGATTCAAATGTAAGGGCTTTGTTTTAAATTCCAGCCTAGAGGCAACCGAAAACGTGGTGCATCCTTTATCATCACGAAAGCAATTCGAGGTAAGTATAGCTTATTTCTCTACAGTAATGATATGGTTAACAGTTCAAATGTGTTCTTTAGACTTCTGATGTGGAGCCTAATAAAAGTGACGTGTTATCTGAGTTTAATTGTATGTATTTATATATACACACATATGTATGTATATGTATACATTTGTATATTTACACATGCACGTTTTTAATGCAGCTTAAAGTATATAGCCTTGGTTTAACCATTATGGGTGTATTCTAGAACAGGTGTCCCCAGTTCCTGGGCCGTGGACTGGTACCAGTCTGTGGTCTGTTAGGAACCAGGCTGCACAGCAGGAGGTGAGCGATGGGTGAGTGAGCGTTACCACCTGAGCTCCACTTCCTGTCAGATAAGCGGCAGCATTAGATTATCACGGAAGTGCGAACTCTATTGTGAACTGCACGTGTGAGGGATCTAGGGTGCGTGGAAAAATTGTCTTGCGCAAAACCAGTCCCTGGTGCCAAAAAGGTTGGGGACCGCTGTTCTAGAAGGAATGAAGGTCAAAGCCAGTATGAGTCTCAGAAAGTCTGTGGATATTGAAGGTGAAAATACACTGAGAGACTATTTTAAGGGGTTTATGTGATGTTTCAGATACATCTGGTCAGAGATACTCAAATTACACATTTGGTAAGCCAGGGTATTCATTTAACTCCTGACAAATTTTACGTATGAACCAACAAGAGTCTGAGAAAGGACTGAGCACTATGTTTACTGAGCTGGTGCCATGAAAGGTTTACCATATTAATTGATAGAGTCCTTTTATGAGACCAGAAAGGGTCGGTGCCGTTACTCCTTTACGTTTTTAGATAAGAAAACTTGCCCAAGGTCATTCATTTGGAATTTGACTGCACATCTTTCTGGCTCCAAAGTCCATCCTTTTATACCAGTGAATTTAAGTTCATTATAAAGAGAAAATTCATTTTCACAGAAGTACTTGAAATTAACTATAATCTTCTGATTATACTTTTATCTTCTGATAAAATTATAGTTAATTATAGTTAATTTTATCTTCTGATACAAGAAACACTAGCATATTCAGTTTTCATAATGACAAATGCTTTAAATTTTGAGAATTTAGAAAATGTGTACAAATAATGAAAATTCATTGTAGATAATACAGACACTGTAGATAACTACAAATTAGAAAAAAATTTGTCCTTGTCTTACCACCTAGAGAGAATCTGTTATTCTTTAGATCTTTTTCCATCAATGTATACCTAACTGCATACACAGGTACACACATACATGTACATTTAAAATAGGATGATAGAAAGCATTGTTTTTTCATAGTGTGTTAAAGGTTTTGTTTTCCATGGGCTTTCCCATTTTAGGTATTATTATTTTTAAAATCTTTGCCATGAAGTGTAAAATAGTATCTTGTTTTAATTTTTATACAAATATTTTGTTTTTTAAGGGGTGATTATTATAACTTCTAGTCCATGGTTTCATGAAAGCTTCTTAGATTAAATTTAACATCTCAAACCACTTTTATTTCTTGAACAGTTAGGAAATACCTGAAACTTTTGAATAACACAGAAACTTAAAATTTAATAAATATATGACCTTGTAAATGTTATAATGTATATTAGGTTATATTTAGTCTCTCATTTTAAGAGTTGTGTTATTTTTTTTAATGACTCACTCTGTAGTATATTTTAGATTTCTCATCTATAAATCTAATTTGAAAATGATTCTTGAAGAACAACTGATTTATAATTGGCTTTGCCATTTCTTTTAATTACAGATCGTTTATTATTTTTACGCCAATACATCTGGTACAGGTGAGTTTTGGTTCTTCAGATAAACAGTGTGAACATCAAATATAAACAATATTATTCTATATATTTGTTTCCATAAATGAATTCTAGATCATGAGAAAGTTGCTGACATTCAGGCAAACTCAGCATGAGACATTTCAAACATTTAAGTATAATCTGACAAGATATCTCAGTAGACTTACGGTAGTTTTTGTTCCCTTAGTTGCTATTAAGAATGTCTCATGACAATTTCTACTTCCTCTGATGACTGTTCTCAGGCTTGCCTTGAATGTCCATATGAAGCATCTGTAGCTTGCATACCTTTTAAAAAACATTTTTGTTCTTGTCACATCATCTCACTTGTGGTTAATATTCAACTGCTGTGTATCAGAGAAGGTTCTTTAGGTTTCAGTTCTTGTATACTTTTTAATT